TCTCTATTTGAACCATTTGCACTAAACCCATCTTCTGAGAATACTCCAGCTTATTTCTTTTAAGATTGTTACATCTTGGGAATTCCTTGGCAGTCCAATGGTTAGGACTCGATGCTTTCACTGTTGTGGGCCCAGATTTAATCCCTGGTTGGGGAACAAAGATCCTGCAAGTCATGTGGTGTGGCCAAAAAGATAATATATATGTTTTTTAATTGTTACCTCTTTACTTTGATTCCCTCCCAAGCCCTTCTTTTTCTTTTTCTTTGCCTCTGCTTAGGGAATATAATTCAATTTCTTAGGAGGGAAACATTTTTACCGCTAAACCTTTGTGTAATGAAGGGAGACATAGAACTAAAAGGAAGAAATGTCCAGCCTACTCACTAGAGACAGTACATTTTACTTATTTATTTTTTGGCTGCACTCAGTCTTCAACGCTGGGCATGGACTTTCTCTAGTAGTAGAGAGTGGGGGCTGCTCTTCATTGCAGTGTGGGCTTCTCACTGTGTTGAATTCTCTTGTTGTAGAGCACAGGATCTAGGTGCATAGGCTCAGTAGTTGTGGCGCACAGGCTTAGTTGCCTCTCAGCATGTGGGATCTTCCTGGACCAGGAATCAAACCCATGTCCCCTGCATTGGCAGGCAGATTCTTAACCACCGGACCACCAGGGAGGTCCCCAAGACAGTACATATTAATCTACAGGACCCAAGAGCAAGAGTGACTAGAGACAGGAAGAAAATGAGATATTTCTACAAGTATTATATCTCACTACATGAATTAACCTGGGTAAATGTCACAGATATGATGTTGAAGGGGAAATAAGGAAGCTGCACTAGGATACACAGACATAGAGAATGATAGCATTTATATAAAATTTTTAAAATTTGCAAAAGAATACAATGTATCATTTACTATTATATGAAGTAAAAATGCTTAAGAACAATAAATACCAGAGTCAAACAGTAGTTAACTCTGGGAGGAGAAGGGGGGACATGTGAGCAAAGAAAATTGCTGTATTTTTGTATTATTTTTTGGTGGGTTCTTTATATTCTCTGTGTTTTTCTCTGCTGTACTGAGTGCTAAGTTGCTTCAGTCATGTCTGACTCTTTGTGACTCTGTGGACTGTAGCCTGCCAGGCTCCTCTGTCCATGGGATTCTCCAGGCAAGAACACTGGAGTGGGTTGCCATGCCCTCCTCCAGGGGATCTTCCTGACCCAGGGATCGAACCTGCATCTCTTACGTCTCCTGTGTTGGCAGGCAGGTTCTTTACCACTAGCACCACCTGGGACTTATCTATGCCTGAAATATTTCATGAAAAATAATACATGATTCTTCTTCTAAAAGAAGAAGACACCTGGACCAGAGCCCCTTGGGCCAAGGCAAGGAGCCTGTGGCATCTGGAGAGATATGGGCAACTCAACCATAATCTTTGGACTGAAGCAGTGGATGGGCCTAAAATGGACCTTTAGTCATATGCCTAAAAAGCTACGTGTATTTCCAGTTCCACACTCTTTTCTCCCCCAAGGTTATGAATAAATTTAGCAAGCCTGCCAGCTAATCCCCAGAGAAGAACCTGCCTGTCCTCAGAGTTACTGAAAAGTTTCATGGCTCTTTGCCAAACACTGCCAGTCAGCAGCTGAGGCAAAAGCCCGTGGCACAGTGGAGGGTCACTTCCCACTGTGTAGGCTTGGGCACATGGCTTAATCTCTGGAGCCCCAGTTTTTTGTGTAAAAATTAGAATAAATACCACCATTCCTGCAGGTTTGCTAAAAGGATTAAGTTATATAATAAATATAAAGTGCTTTGTGTAGTGACTGAGCTGTATTAGACATTACATTTATGTAAGTTCCCTTCTTTCTTGAAATAAACTGAAAAAAGTCCCAACTAAAACCAGAAGAGGAATGAGAATTTGGAGGCATCCCTGATTCCCAGGTAAGAGCTTCTTCCTCATGTCATGTGCCATGTTATGGCATGGTGTGCCTGGCTCAGCAGTGATCTGACTATAGGCCTCTGTGTTTTCCTCATGGCCTTCTGTCCACTGGAGCTTTAGGGTTTTCAGGGTAATTTCCCAAGGCTTGCAGCTTTGCTTAAAATTTGACAGAATCAAGAAGTGAGGGCTTCCCGGCTGGCACCAGTGGTAAAGAATCTACCTGCCAATGCAGGAGATGCAAGAAATGCAGGTTTAATCCCTGGGTTGGGAAGATCCCCTGGAATAGGAAATGGCAACCCACTCCAGTATTCTTGCCTGGAAAATTACATGGACAGAGGAGTCTGGAAGGCTACAGTCCATGGGGTCACAAGAGTCAGACATGACTTAGAAACTGTGCACACACACAAGGAGAAGTGAAGATCAAAAGTCCATTAATCTTAGCCATCTCCAAGCAGATTCCTAGAGAACACAGCCAGGCATCAGCACAGCAGAGTCCTTAGTACCCAGCTGAGAGCTTAAAGTAGGATGTAAAAGCTGTAGTTCTGGTACTGGAGCCAGGTCTTTTCATGAGCTGTATAGGAAGTCATCTCCCCTCCTACTTTAAGCACAAGGCAGTCTTTACTGTGGACTGGCAATGTGGAGGGGGCTTGTTAGACATGGTAGTGTCTGTCCTTCCCCTCCAGCCTGAGCAAACACACATACTTCCAGTAAAATGCTTAACCTTGGAGTTCTTCCTCAACAGGGGGAAAGCTAAATTGGCTTAAAATATTTCCAGAGTACCTCAGCCTTACTAATGAAGGTGACTTGTGACTGCAACAGTGATCATGGGAAACAATTGAGGAAACAAGTGGTAGAAAATAGTTTCACACTCACTAAAGCCTTTTTGCAGGTGTCCATCTCAAAGCCTTCCACAGATCCACTGACCAAGAGCTTCCACTTTTTCCCGATCACATCTGCAGACTCACCAGTGGTGGTTTATTTGTCTCAGAGGGAGTTACACACAAACTAGATGAAACAAGCAACAAAGCAAAATGGGCGGTTCCTGAAGATCTCAGTCAGACTTGTAAAACATAAGAACCCACGCTCTCCATTGCTGTAGAAATCTGACCTCAGTCATTCCGACTCTTCCTTCCAGAGATGGTTCCCACTTGTGTTCCAGATTCCAAAATAGTCATTTAGTACTCTCTGATTATGGCTGCTTGAGTTCGTTGGCTCTTTCTCGTTCACTGACTATGTTTACCTCTTGCCTAACTCCAGAGCATACTATATACTCTTAAGCTACTGAAAAAGAAGCATCTCCTTCCTCCCATTTTGAAAAAAGAAGTGAGACTTTTCAGTGACAAACTAGCAGCCAGTTGTAAACCTACTACTATATCTCAGAAGCCTCTGTGTCTGAAGCTTTCTATATACTTCCTTACTACTCTTTCAGGGTGAATTTTCACCCAGGATCAGGAATTACCCTAACTGCTGATTGGACTGCTTTCTCTCAGGGAGGGCAAATTGAAAAGTTCTGGAAGGTCCCTTAATGCCCACCCACTGAGTATATCCTGAGTTTGAGCCAAAAAAACTAGTACTGGGACTTCCCTAGTGGACCAGTGGTTGAGACTCCATGCTTCTGTTGCAGGGGGCATGGGTTTGATCCCTGGTTGAGAGCTAAGATCCCACATGCCTCACCATGCAGCCAAAAGAAAAAAAAAAAACAATATTTTCTCTACCCATCTCTAGCCCACACCAGAGTGCTATGGCTTTGACCTTTGCCACTTTCTGACAAACTTTAACCTTCTAGAAGAATAAAGAAGGCTCTGAAATGCCATAAAATGCTGGAATTCCTTTTTTGCATTTTACTAAAATTTTGGCACTTGGCAAGAATCTTTTTTATGGCTTGTGGATGATAGTTTCAGTCCTTGGAATGGCCTCTTTTCCATCCCACATGCCTCTTGGATTGCTTAAGGATTTTTCCTTACTTGATGTTTTATTTTGTTTAAATGGACACTCAGACCCTTCCTACTTACCTCCTTCTCCCCTCCAGCTGCCCACTTCTGACTCTTTAGGGACTGAATATTCCCTTATTAGGATAGATCTCATTCCATAGAGCCATCTTGGCTCAGAAAAACAACTCGGCAGTCCCAGGCTTCCTCTAGTCTCCTGCCCTTAATTTCTTTGTTTGGTCATGCATGTATGGATTCTGGAGTCAGGCAGACTTAGTTTTGAAATTGCTACTTGGCAGTTATGTGGTTTTAGGTAAATGGTTTAACTTCTCTTAATCTGTCCTCTCATCTGCAAAATTGGTTATTTTATCAGAGGTAAAAATGATACTCCTAGAATCATCTAGGTAAGTCACTTCTGTAATGTATGTAGACTGCTTAGCACAGTGCCTGGCCTGAAGTAGGTATGTAATAAATGCTAGTGAAGATTTTCAAAAGGACTTTTCCTCCACCCACCCATCCTCAGAAGCCAAAAGGATGTGCTTTTTAAACACATTCAAATGCTAAGAGCCAGTGGTGCTACTCTTGAGAGTGTGGCTTTAGGGTTTAGAGTAGTCTCTTACATAGCATGGAGTTGGCTTTAAAAATATCCTATTTTTCTAAATAATTATGGTTTTGATTAACCAGGGTCTGTGGTAAGAGCTGTGGGGCACCCATTATTTCTATAGCTTATCTCCTAGGAAGATTCATTGGATCTGAGCCTCCACTAAAATTTTTTTATATTCCCAGATGAGAGGCAGAAGCAATGGATCAGCCCAGGGGTCAGGGCCAGCTTCCACCCCCAGACCAAAGGAAGACCAATTGGGTGGAATTTAGACCTCCAGGTCTGGGGTGCCTAAAGAACTGAAGTCATACTGTTTGCTGTTTTCAGGTTTTGGGTGAATATCATTATGAGCACATACAGACTCTGGACTTCTCTAAAGCCCAATCCTCTCTTGAGGCATTCTGTCTTCTAGCATAAGCATGTAGCCATGAACTAGACTGGCCAGCTATTCTTAGCATATGGAGGAGCCAGAACCTCCAACCCATAAGGATGAGGATGGTGATGAGAGACATGGACACTCCCTAATTCGGCTACTGTGTTACAGAAGCAACATCCAGAGCAGCGTCATCTGCAACAACGCTATAATCGAGAAGGGAGCAGACATCAAGAACTGCCTAATTGGAAGTGGCCAGAGGATTGAAGCCAAAGGTAAACCAGAACCCAAATTACAATCACAGATGCCATTGTTTTCATATCACACTAACACAGATAATGCTCTGTGCTGATGAGAACTGGGGAACAAGTATATGCATACCCCACAGGTGAGAACATAAATTGATAAAAGCCCTCTGAGGAGGGCAATTGACATCACTGTCAAATTTTTAAATTCTGACCTCACAGTTCCATCTTTGGAAATTTATCTTGTTAGTTAAGTCTTCATATATATTTATGCAGCCTTACTACCAAAAAATTTAAAACATACCAGAAATATCTAATCACCCAGATAGGCCCCAATACTTTACAATGGCTGTCAGGCATAAGAGAAAAGGGCCAATGATCAACAGAGGCTCTGGAACTATCTCTGGCAGCCTCCTGCAGTCCTTCATCTGACCTGGTAGTTAAGGGAGAGGAGTCCCATGGGTCCTTGTCCTGCAAGAAGGTTAGTAGCTTCTTCAAAGCCATTCTCTCAGTGCCATCCTCAGTTGCTTAGAGATGCTTTAGTGTTAGCTTGCTCTGCTCAGTAGCTGTAGAAAGTCTGTGTAATGCTTAAAAGACATACAAACATCAGGGTTTTCCTGCTGGGCTGGGCAAATTGGAATGGTCCATAATTTGGCTGAGGATTTTTAACCAAAAAGTAGCCAAAGCTCAAGATCAATAAAGATGGCACATTCCTTTTCAGATTATTCCTTAAACCTAAACTAGGGTGGGGTAGGAGAGTTGCTGAAAGAACTAAATCCACCAGTTCTGAGTTGGTGGAAGCCACTTTTTCCTTCTCCCAGTAAGTAAAGGCCTTCTTCCATTTTTTTCTCCTTCCCTTTTTTTTTTTTAAAGTCATATACCTCTCCTGTGAGCTTTAGACTCAAAACAGACCTGGGTTCAGATCTCAGCTGTGCAAATCACTGGATGGGCACTAGCTTAAGTTTTTAATTTCTAGGCCTCAGATGTTTGAAACTAGAAAAACTGAGACAATAAAAAGTTATTTTGGAGGATTGTCGTGAGAACTAAGTACAGTTAAACGTTGTGAGGATTACACACGACTTGTGGAGCACACCACAGGGCTCAGAGCCCCACATGTGCGCCATGCTTTTGTGCCCCTCCATGCTTTCGTGCTTGCCCTCTCTCTGAAATTTTTAATGGTTCTGCCCAAGTGTTTTCTCTATAGAACTTTCCTGGCTCTTTCCATGACTCCTCACAGTCAAACTGAGCATTCCTTCCTCCTCCACACCTTTGTCAATACCTTAATTAAAGTACATACACAAATGGCAATTAGCTATGAATCTATCTTCCCTACTAGACTAAGAACCTCAGACCAAGAACTGACTTATTTCAATATGTGTCCCTAGCTCTCAGAACAGGTCCTAGTTTATAGTAGATGTGGGAAGTGTAGAGATAAGCAAATGAATTTTGGATCCTTTAGTAAAGGGAATTTGGGGGCATTTCAGGGTAGAGAGTTAGGGTTCCAAAAAAGACATTTGTGAGACAGTTGCAATTATCATGAGATCTCTTCTGACTTTTTTTCTAAACTTATGCTGATGAAAGAACCAAATACAGCACTGATAAATGAACTGAGGAGATGCTGCTTGGCCTGAAATCACCCTTCAGCCTTATTTCTTCACTTGAGACTAGACATAACTCTTCTTCTCACTACCTTTCTTCTCACATTTCAAATATTTTCTTCCTCTACATGTGAGAATTGTCATTTCTAAAAGGCCTTTTTTGGGTGATACTAGCTTACCAATAAAGTTCTTTGTTGTAAGCAATATAATCTAAGTCTGGGTGATTTAAACTGATAAAGAATTCATTGAAAAGATAGGTAGCTCACAGCTCCACGATGGCTGCAGAATCAAGCTTAGAAAATGGGTCACAGCCAAGATTTACCCTCCAGACCGTCCTGGTGAGGACACTGCTGCCATCCTCACTGAACGCTGGATATTACATGCTTGCTCTGCTGCTCCAGCCGCTCAGCAGCCCCAAAGTGGAATCTCTCTGGTTCCTACATTTTTGTGTCACTAGTTCCCAGCTCATGGTTTCTGGTGGCTGCCCTAACAGGTCAAACCTAGGTTATCTATCCATGCCCTTGCTGCAGGGAAGGCTGGCAGTTTTGGTTCAGTCTGTGGGAGACAGACTCCACCTGGTGTCTCACCAGAGAGCCTTTGAGCTGGAGTGTTGGTCATCAGTGGCTCCCCAGCTGTTGGTACCTTCTGCCATGATCCCGTGCAAGCTGAAGGTATGAGCCTAGGTGAGAGGGCTGGGACACCAGCTTGAACCCCAGCACAGGGGGGAAGGACGGCACTGCCTTCCGGGGGGTGGCCACTGGCTTATGGCTATTGTGTACAGCTTTGAAGTGTTCTCTCGTGCACTGTCTTATTGGGTTCTCATGAGGTCCTCTGAGGTAGGGATTCTTTATTGACCCATTTGGTAAAATGGAAACTGAGATTTTGAAAGTTGAAATTTACCAAAAGTACACAGCTAGTACATGACACAACTGGGTCTTCAGCCTGAACTATTGACAGCCTCCAAAAAGACCAGAGGAAGAAGCCACTCCTGGCTTGCCTAGCAAAATTTAACCAGTGATACTGTTTTTCTCCCTTTAGTCCATCTTTCTCCAACGGGTAGGAAAAATATATTTGGACTCCATATCCTGGCTTTTTCTCTCCTCAGGAACCTCAGGTCTTAGCTCTTTCTCCTGCTCGACGTACCAGTTCACCCATACCTACCCTTGGCTTGAAGAGAAATTTGGTTTTTGATATCTAAGGCCTATTGGTTGTTTCTTTAAAATAGAATTCAGAACCTCAGCCTATTCTCTGACTTTGTGGAAGACCTTGGAAGGGATCCTTCAAAAGCAGGACAGGATAATCCCATCCGCTCCCTGACTCCTCATTACATTTCTCTCCTTTTTGTTCTCTTCTATTTGGGTTTCTTCTACCTCCTTCTTGCCTCTTTGCTTTGTAAATTAGCTCCTGCTCAGCAAAAAAGTAGAAATACCCCAGTGTTCTCTTATTTTAGTCCCTCCTAGAGCCAGGAGATGCTTCCTTCTGTTGTTTTTACAGGCATATTTGAATGTGTGAACTCCATTTGCCACTGCCCTACAGGATCATAGTGCCCCCCACTCCCCCACCCCTGCCTGCTTTCTTACATGCTGGAACCTGGAACCTCACAGTTTCTCCTCTTTCCTCTTCCCACTTCCAATAAAGTCATAGTGCTCCTTTCTTTTCCTTTGCAAGGACCCCTCTTAGTTTTGTGTGCAGAATGCATGAATGACTAATGAATGCCAGACAGTGAGGGTTTGAGGCATGTCACCTCCCATCAAGGAGCATAGGGCTGGGCTTGCCACACCTCTAAGATGTCACAGGCTGCAGTGTCTCCTGGGCTTTCTGGTTCTGACTAACACTGTGTACCCTCTCGTTAAGGGTCCTGAAGGAGAGGGGGCCAGGGAAGTCTTTAAACTGGAGATCCCCAACATTTCTTGCTCTGTCCTCTATGCTAGAGGGATCACTGCATCCAGCACAGTAGTCAGTGCCCTCCTGCCACAGGTATTCCTGACCAGTCAGCCTGTTCCCACTATCACTTTTCTTTGAGGCTGAGCTATATTAAGAAAGCAAATTCCCAGCCATCAGTGTAGCAATCTAGACCTGTTACTATAGATGACCTAGACAAACATCAACTTAGGTCCTCACTAGCAAAGAGGTAAGGAGATAGCAAAGTCCCCAGTCAATCTTTCTCCCATGGAGGGATTTCAGGAAAAAACATTCATCCTCAGAAGTAATACTGTCCCCTCTCCAAATCCCAGTCATTTGCATGCCATAGAGTCACCACATCCATAGCAAAAATGGGACTCTACACCAAAAACAGGACTCCCATAACCAAGTGTAGGCCCCACTGCCCTTTTCTAGCATTACTGGGAGAACAAGGCATTTTCTAGCAATTCCGGCCTTTCTCACCCCACCCAGCATGCTCAGTTAATGAGATTATCTCTGGCAAAAATCCTGGCAGCCAAGTTTGACCTCCTACTCAAGCCAACTGAAAAGCTACAGCCAACAAAGTCAAAACCTGGGGGATTAATTGGACATTTCATCTGAGTCTCTTATTACTGTCAGAGAGAGAACTTGGATCTCTTCCCTGGGACCACAGTGATCAGTCCTTTGGCTGTGAAAGTAGACCTGATGGGTACATAGGTCAAGTCCTGGCTAGCAGGAATCCTCCCCAGCCTCCCAACAGTGCAGCTTCTCGTATGTGACTTGTCATTTCCCCTCTGTCTCATTGGTTTTTCCCCAACTTACTTTCCTCCCTTGTGCTCTTCTCTTTAGGATCTTTGCTGACCTGATTCCAGCCCAGAACTTTTCCAAATATGTTTATGGGAGCCTGCTTCCAGCCCTGGCCAAGCAGATCTAGCACTGCTTGTTTTTCCCTTTCAGGTTTCCTCCACCTTACTGAAAGTCTCCATAAAAATACACCTTCCCCCAAAATGCCAGATACGATATTTCTCCCCTGAATCCCAGTGAGCAAGCCAGAGAAGGTGCAGGTATTTATTTGGAGCCTAGCAGAGCAGAATAAGATGTTGTTTTCCTCAGCCTGACACCTCATTCACCCCTCTGGTCTGGAGCACTAAGGACCAAGAAGAGTGTTAATAAAACTGGGATTGTCTTCAGAACATTCCAGTGGCCTGGAAACTAGGAGGAGACTGGGTGAAGGGAAAGCAGATGTCAGAATCTAGATATGAGATGATATGGCTAACTCATGCCACAGAGGGGTTAAGGGCCAAGAGGAACTTTTGGAGGTTCCTGGGAAGCTAGCCCAAGATGCATTTCCATTGTTCTTTTCTGATCAGTCTTACTTCAAGGTCTAGCCTGACTGACAGTCACACTCTAAGACCAGCCCCAGCCCTTGGGAATGTAGAAGCCTGAGCACTGTCTGGGCCTCCCGCCCATTCTTCTCACTGAAGGAAGCAGTTGGCTTCCTAGGGCAGGACCACACAAGCCAAACCCAGGTGCATTCTGTAACTTCTGTTTAATTCTTACCAAGGCTCTTTACATCAGTTATCTTACTGAATCCCCACAACTTTATGAGGAAACCAAAGCCCAAAGACGTGGAATAATGTGATCAAAGTCCAGTTAGAATTCAAAGCTCTGTGGCTCAGAGCTCTCCTATTCTGCATTGACACCTTTTCTTCTCACATGAGATTGCCTCTGCCAAATACAATGCTATAACATAAACTTTGTGAAAGGCCTAGAGCTAGGTTTCTCTTCCCTCTGGAGAACATTAGAGAGATGGGCCAAAGATGCTCTCGATCCCTAGCACCTTTGCTGTGATGCATCAGTGTGTCAGTTGTGTTCTCTTTGACAAGGGGATTGGAGGCCTTCTCCTCCATACATGCTCCTTTTCCTTCTTCTGTATCCTTACATAACCAGCGAGAACACACGTACTTTCTTCAACAATTACCACCTCCTGTATTCTAAGCTTTGGGAGACGAGGGGTGTAAAGATGAGTAAGACTTGCCTTTTACTGTCCAGCTGCTCAGTCTATTATAGAGACACAGATAAGCAAAGAACTAAGTACAATAAAGTTTCACGGGTATCATGTCAGGGTTCATTAAGGACAGAAAAGAGAAATCATGCAGTTTTTGGCACAAGAATCAGGCATACCATCTCAAAGGAAGGAATTTAGGCTAAATTTTAAAATTGCTGGCTACATACCAAATATACAAAAGGGAAGAACCTCTCAAACTAAGGGGAACCAGGCAAGCAAAAAACAGTCTCTTGTGTTGGGAACTGCAAATCATTTGGAAAATCTAGAATACAGTATGTAAAGGAGATGTAGCAAGAAACAAAGCTAGAAAGGTGGGTAGAAAAGAAGACATGTCTGAAATCTCAAAGTCTCCAGAGCTTCAGTCAGAAACCCCCTTTCTACTGGCAGAGCAGAAGTAGGCTCCAGACTATGGGCAGTATAAACAGACTAAAACATCTCATATTATCAAACTTGGTCCCATTATCAACGATTTTCATTTTGCTTCACCAAACCCCTCTGAGAATGAAGTAGAGCTGCAGGAAAGCTGAGTTTCTGCCTTACCTATCAGGGTCACACTTCAAGTCCCAAGTGTGGCAATAAAGATGTTGGACCTTTAGAGGTTAAGCTCACCCAGAAAGAATTCATTGTCAGCCAGGTGGTCAGCCTTTTCTGTCTGAACACTCCCTTCTCTCCTACATCTGCCCCATGCCTCCAGGGAAGAAGGCATGCCGCTGGTTTCCCCTGCCCCTTCCAGACCATTGGTTCACTGCCTCCTTTCTATAGCTCCTACTCCTTGAAAGTTAACCCTCTTCTTACCTTTTACCGCATAATTGGTCAGCTCCCAGAGAAGTCTAAATATATCAAGGGTTCACAGTCTTCCCCCTTCCTCCCTCTCTTTTTCCAAACATCTTGGACGACTTCAACGTATTCATCAGTGAACCATCCAGCCCCTCAAGCTTCACCATTCCCTGACCTTCTCTACTTTACCAATCTTCACTTCCTTGCAGCTTTAGCTCTCCACTTACATAGTCACACCCTATCCTTGTCATATAACTACAAACCTCTGAAATCTTTCATGTGCCAGCAGCTGTGCTAGATATGATCATAAATCTACTGCCCCTGCACTTAAGATCCTTACAGAGAAATAGAGATACATCCAAGGTAGAGTGTTTTCACAAACCAAGAAATGAATGGTTCAGAAGGAAAGGCACTACATAGTGGAGGTGTTTGATTAGGGTATTTAGGGTGAGTAGGGAGGAGAGGAAAAGCATTTGAGACAGAGGAAATAGCATATACTAAGGTCTAGAGCTACAAAACAGTATGGCTTCCAAGTACAAATGGAGAAAGATGGAAGATAAAACTGGAGAGGTAGACAAGGGTCAGGTCATTGAGGGCCTTATGGGTTTAAACTTTACAAAAATAATAACCACTATTTATCAAACAGTCAGTATGCTTTAACTCATTGAATTCTCACAATAACCCTGTCAAATGTGTGATATTATTTACATATGACATGGAAGACATCTCCCTTTCTCCTTTGAGTATCTCCATTTAACTATTTAGTCTCTTTTCCTCTCACTCTTTCCCCCCGTGCCTTATCCTACACCAGTTTTTCACATTCCTCTTTCTTATATCTTTATGTCTTTGCTCATGCTGTTTTAACAGCCTGGAATGCCTTCCCCTTGATACACTGCCTGAAAAAACTCTATTCATCCTTTAAGGCTCAGTTCCAGTTCCCCTCTGATGGGAAGTCTCCTGAAAGCCAGGTGTATAGAGTCAGTCCCCACCTCCTGGGTGGGAAGATGCTATCTCTCCCAAAGTCTTTTGGCGAATTGTTATTCCCAAGAGCTTCTAAAGAGCAGAGCCACATTGGAGAAGAATAAATGTTTATGAACACAGAATTAGAAGTAATTGGATTTGAAATGAAATCATTTGCTTCCAGTTCTCAAACAACCTTTTCTTTTTCTTTTATAGCCAAACGAGTGAACGAGGTGATCGTGGGGAATGACCAGCTCATGGAGATCTGAGTTCTGAGCAAGTCAGACTCCTTCCTTTTGGCCTCCAGAACTACATAAGTTGGCTGGCCCACCTGTTTGACTCTGTATTTATTTCCCAATAAAAGAAGGGCTCCCAAAGGCATTGTAGAGACTTATGGAGTAGTCGGGCTCCAAGGATGCAGTGTATGTGCCTGTTGGAAAAACTGTCAAGAGCCAGCGTGTGGGACAAGATAGGACACATGGCCTGGCTCTTGTCCACCCAGGTTATCAGGCAGGGGCAGCAGCTGTCCAGTGGTGAAGGTCCCAGGAGGGCTACTTTCCAACCGACTGGCCCAGCCTATTCCTTAAAACATCTCCCACCTGAAAGGACTTGAGGGTACATCAGTCCCCAACCCTAATCAGGCTTTCTAGATCTGTAGGCCTAGTTGCTGCCATTGCCACCTCTGCATGTGATGCACCTCCTGCAGCTGCCAGTGTGGGCAGCCTTGCCCCTGAATCTCAGCCCAAGACTTAACTATTCTGCTCCCATACCTACCCACACAGGTTCCTGGCCCCTGCCACTGTGCCACCCCAGCCTCACCCTCCCACTCCTGCCATTTACTTCCCATTCTCCCAGTGTCTGGTCAGTTTCTCCAGCCCAGCTATTATACCCTGGAGTCCCTTAAAGCAAGCAGGAGGCAGCCCCTGCTTAGCCAGCAATGCTATCCCCACAGGTTTTAGTGGAGGCAAGAACAATAAAAGAAAGCTGTGGTCTGAGAGAAGCCAGACCCCTTCTCACCTCTTCTTAGTGAGGTCTGCCCAACTGGGAAAGGAAGAGCCAGGAACCCAGATCATCATTTGAAATTCTTACTGATCCTTCTCCAGCTGCACTCCTTTATATCCTAATTATATAGACTCTGCTGCTTCAGGTAATTGAGAAATGAGACTTCAATTCCCACAGCTCTTCTGGAACGCCATCCACCTTGTCTTCACCACCCCCCTCCCAGATACTCATACTCCACTCCTGCCTCTCCCTACACCGCTTTTACCACCTGCAGGTGTTTGGTGGAAGATGAAAGTGGTTCCTGGGGTGAGATTTCACCTCCTAGATTTATCAAAGTAAAGGTTTCTCTTGATGTGTTCACTGTGGGTGGCAGTAATTATAAAGAAAGATTTGAAATACTGGTTTCTACATTGTTTCAAAAATCTGAAGTCTCTCAAGTTCATTTGAGTGATCCTGCCTGAATCTTAGTTGCTCTCATTGGACTTGTGAGAGACTGAGCATTCCTCCCCTGGGGGAGCTCCACCTCCATCAGCCTTCTGGGTTGCTCTAGAGCACCACATTCTCCCCACTGATCAGGACAAGGTTCCTGAAAGTCTGTCCTCAGCAGAGAGAAGCTGAAATGGCCCAGCAGAGTGGTTGAAACCTAGAGGACTGTGGGAAGGTAGAAATAAAGAGCTGTGGTGGTGCCCAAGATGATTTCGTTTGGAGCTGAAATTAAATGTGTGGGGCAGCGATGGTGCTGGAGACAGTCCTGGCCTGGATAGAAGATCTGTGCTCTGGAATGTAGTCTGGCTTTGGACAAGTCACTGTCTGCCCTTGAGTTTACATATCTGCAAAATGGAAAAGTTGAACTGGGTGACTTCTAAGGGCCCTTTTAATCTCAGGTTTTATCCCCTCTCAGAGCTTTCTGACGCCTGGGGTCCAGGTACAGAAGATGGCTCCTTGACCGCAGAAAGGGGCTAGAAGTGGGTGGGTTTGGAGGAAGGATAGGTTCGGGGAAGGGAAGGGATTGGTTATACTGTCCCAGAACCTTCCCACTCTTCTTTCTGATCTTCCCCAGTGAGCCCTTGGGTAGAGGAAAAGCCTCTCTTCTGCCTTCCCTTGCTCCTGCTCCAAGGAAAGAAGGCAGCTGAAAGAAACAGACAAGGGAAGGGTTCCCCAGGGGAAGGCCTTGCTGAGTTTGAGTCCCAGCTGGGAGCAGCCCCCAGCTTGGGACACTGCTGCTATTGTCTCCACCAACTCCAAAACTGGCTGAATGCCCAAGATGCTTTGATTTCTCTTCTGTTCATCCTATCTGCCAGAAGGCAGGACAGTTTTTGTTTTCTTTTGGCAACATCTCCAGAGGTTTGAAATAGAATGAGCAACTGAATGTCCACTGGCCAGCTACCTCTTCATGGGACAGAAGCCATAAGGCTAGGCAGGCAAAAGAATTGACAGGCTCTGCCCTGCCTCTCCGAGTGGTGCTACACAAGGGGAGTGAAGGAGAGGGGCAGGGAGCCTTTAATGACAAATCAAGGAAGTCTCTGAGGAGGTGTTGAGAAATGGGGTTCTGGGAGCTTGCCAGATCAGACACAATTTGATGGCTACTACTCCAAGAACCCCCACCCCCACCCCCGGTAACACCTCTCCCCTACTTGCTAGCAAGAGCTCCCTGAGCCTATAAAGGGACTGACTGCCAAGGCCAGAAGCTGAACTTCTTCCCAGTTCTTCACCATATTACTCTTGCTAGCCCACTCCCATCTGCATGGGAGAGTGTGGGGAAAACTCTCTTTAGCTGGACCCCCAAGAGTGATCTAGGGGTCTGCACAGCCTAGTTTAGAAGCTGTTTCTGTTTCCAGAGAATTGCATAGAGTATACTTTTCTTTAAAATCCACAAGCATCCCTCCCCCTAAGGAAGTATCAATACATAAGCCAGGTTTTTATATACTGCTTTCTAAATAGTTAAATGTGTCTGAGGAAAGGGGAGATGGGTGTGGGAAGGACCACCCAGACAGAAGGTCTAGAAAGCTCAGCTCTGATGGAGCTGACAGGGAGGGAAAGAGGCTAAGCAGGAAAACACATTCTACTAGAGGTCAGGATGCCCCGTCCTCAACCTGAGCCATCTGCCACCACCCAGAAGGCTTCCATCAGGGGCTTTTCTGCCATGGATAAACTGGGAAATTCTACTCTGATTGTTTGTTTTTTTGGCTGCACTGGGTCTTAGTTGTGGCATATGGGATCTAGTTCCCCGACCAAGGATCGAACCCAGGCCCCCTGCACTGGGGACACAAAGTCTTAGCCACTGAACCACCAGGAAAGTACCTCTACTTTGATTCTTAATCCTCTTTCCTTACCTCACCATCAAGGTAAAAGGTCATTTTCTGATCTCTGGTTGCATCATCTAGCACTAGAGACTTGGCAGGTCTTATTGGCATAAATCTGCCTAGAGGGAAGGGGCATACAGTCCTAGACGTGGTCCCTAAACATAGTGGGTGGCAGTGGGGCACTGCTTGGGCCTCTGCTTCTCTCCTCACATCTCAGGGTTATTGACTTTGGCCCAGATGACAGAAGCCAGCCCAAAGCCAAAGCGTGGCAAGTGAATAGCTTAGGGAATGGCAGGGAAAGAAAGCCTGACCTAGTCCGCCCTCATGGACCCTACCCTGAAGCCAGGCTGACCACTTTCCCCAACAGTATGACTGTGTGTGTTTCGCCTCAGCTTTCCTGGCACTGCTCCTGGCGCATATATATTATCTCCTTTAAACCTTAGGGCAATGTCACACTATGTAATCTGCCCAAGATCTCATAACCAGTAAATGAAAGATCCAGACCCTGAACCATGTCCTCTCCTTTTAGATTCTGTCACCCTCCCACTTTTCCCATCCAGTTCCTCTCTCTTCTGGAAATTTCCCTGAGTATTCTAGCTCACAGTGGTTTCCCCTGTGGTCTGTGTGCTCCCTCTTAGGCTATGAACTTTTAAAAAGCAGGTACCCTGTAACCTCAGAGCTTAGAAAAGGATGGATCCATAAGAGACCTTAAGGAATGTTTGTCCCATAAATCAGTAGTTAGATTTACTCCTTGGTGGTGATGAAGGATTGCTTTTCTCTTTTGTTTGTCTTTGGAGAATTTCTCTGGTTTGGGCCAAAGACACATACCCAGATCTAGTGGAAGTGACTGTGAACCAGGCTATTCCATAGTTGAAGCAAGCTGCTTATAGAGAGAAAAGAGGAGCTTCTTCCCTCCCGGTCCCTGGGATCTGTGGCTCTAGATCACCACTGGTTGAGCTCAGCTATACTTAGGAACTCACTTTGTTGGGGAGAAGAAAGGTCACTTTGGAGCTCAAAGCAGCCAGAGGACACCAGGCCCTGGCTGGAACTGTTGGAACTGCAGACCAATTCCTCCACCCTGGTCTTTGGACCTTACAAAGCAAGAAATTTGCTCAGGAGGCAGGCCCTGCCATGAAGGCATCCATGGATGTGCTGTTAGCAGTGGTAGGCCTGGTCTGGAAGTAGAGTCCCAAGGCCCAGATGACTATAAATCTATTTCTTCATGGACTTTATGTCTGCAAATCTAGCAAGGAGGAAGTTTCAGGAACTACTTACAGCAAATCCTCTCTGCTTCTAGTCCTGATGACACCCAGCCATACCCATCTTTTGCTGGAACTGCAAAAGCAATCTAAGGGCCCATACAACCTAGTTTAGAGGCTCTTTCGATTTCCAGAGAATTGCTGAGGGTATGCTTAAAAAAAAAAAGTTTGTAGATTGGGGGGGGGGGGGCATTTTTTTGGCTGCACTGGTATTTAGTTGCAGTACGTGGAATCTAGTTCCCTGACCAGGGATGGAAACTGGACCCCCTGCCTTGGGAGCACTGAGCCACTGGACCACCAGGGAAGTTCCCTAGGGTACACTTTCTTTATCTATAACAGGACCCTCTTCTCTATGACAGGGAGGAACAAAGTGCTATGCACATATGCTGTTTTTACCATGTAGTCACTACCTGGCCAACGGCATCACACATGTATTAGTTCCTCCAAGGCATTTTGCTGGATGAACACCCACTAGGTGTTCACCCCCTCGGCCTAAAATTCCCCTTTCCCCAGAACTGAGGAGAGATCTCCAGGGAGATTATGTTAGTTGACACAAGTTTTCAAGAAACAGTTTGGCAATATGTAGCAAGAGCCATAAAAATGTTCATACTTTTTGACCCAACACACTTCTGGGAATCTGTCCTAAGGACATTCTCCAGATGATTGATACAGAGACTATGCAGTAATATGAAATGTTTATGATGT